CTTTCCCTGCAGTCCCCACAGAGACTCCCTACCACACACTGGAGGAGGGCGTGGTGGAGTACTGCACGGCTGAGGCGCCCCCGCCGCTGCCTGCCGAGGCGCCCGTGGAGATGGCGGCCCAGCATCCAGATGCATCCGTCAGACCACAGGCACTCAAGAGCCGCATCGCCCTCAACTCCGCCAAGCTGATCCAGGAGCAGCGCGTCACCAATCTGCACGTGAAGGAGATCGCCCAGCATCTGGAGCAGCAGAACGACCTGCTGCAGATGATCCGCCGCTCCCAGGAGGTACAAGCCTGTGCCCAGGAGCGCCAGGCCCAGGCCATGGAGGGTACCCAGGCAGCCCTGAGTGTCCTCATTCAGGTCCTCCGACCCATGATCAAAGATTTCCGCCGCTACCTGCAGAGCAATACACCCAGCCCGGCCCCTTCCTCTGACCCTGGACAGGTGGCCCAGAATGGGCAGCCGGACAGCATCATCCAGTGAGGGCCAGGCTCAAGCCAGCCTCCTGCCATGATTGGGTGAAACCTCCTTGGTCTTGTAAGTGGGTTCTGTGATTGGTCTTGGGCCAGCCGTGTGGACAGCTCCCTTTTCGATAGATGTTTAGGGGTCCACCGCCTCTGAGAAATGAAGGAGACTGAGAAGAGGAACCTGCTGGGCTCCTGGGACCCCACCTTTTCCTTCCACCACTTGAACTTCCTTGCTGAGATCTGGAAGATGGTTAGCTGGGGGTGGGGGTAGGGGGTGGTGCATGTACTGGTGATGGGGCAAGTGTGGTCATAAGCCAGGCCTTGTGATGTGAACCAGACTTAGGGCCGCCTTACAGCAGGGATCTGCTCCACCCTGGTGTCATCCTTCTGAGTAAGCTAATGTCAGTGATGCTGGCAATAGGGCAATAATCTCTTTTCCTTGGGAGGCAGCGTGACTGAGCCTGAGGAAGAAATCCCACCCTCTTCTCCTTCCCACTATGCCTCAGTTCTCAGGGTACCCTAGTGAAGGCTGTGCCCGCCCCTGATGTACTTCCCCCAGGCCCAGAGCAGACCCCTGTTAGTGCTCTGGGTTGCCTCTGCAATGCACCCAGGGTGCAGCCACCCTGGCCCAGGAACACCGTGTATAATGGGGATGGTTTGGCCACACTCGTGTCTTCCATGGCATCTCTGGGCAGCCCTTTGGTGGCTTGTCCTGACAGCCTTTGATTAGAATCAAGTTTTGAGTGCTGTAACTTAGAGAAAGCAAACAAGTGTGGAATCTTGGCGCCCACTGTACTGGATCAAAGGGGATCAGTTGGCTGTTTCCAGAAGCCTTGCTTTCAGCCAGTTGTATTTACTCTGTGTGCAAACCCCTCTTGGAGGTCTTCCCAGGAGCTCTGTGGCTACGCCCTTCTGCCTTTCCTTTCTGCTGACGCCACATTCCCAAAATTCGTGCAAAAACATAACTCTGCTCAGCATCGCATCCTGGACTCTTCTCCCTGGCCACGTTATTCAGCGCCTGGTGTTCTCGTGAGAGTCCCTCCAACTGGCTGAGTGAATCCAAAGCCACAATTGACCACGAATGTATGAGGTGAGAGGTGAGACTGACCTAAGAAGTGGGACCCTTTGAATCCTGTGCTCGGGGAGGAGCACACAGCCTGGGCTTGGAGAAAAGGTGCTGTTCCCTGTTCGTCTCGACGCTCTCTCCCGAGTCCTCTGTATAGATTTGACCCAGACGACACTTGTCTGTTTCATTTCCAGAATCGCGGAAGCCCTTGCATCTCCCCAGATCGTTTTCCTAGTTTGCTGTTTTGCCGCCGGTGCCCTGGCCGCATGCGACAAGCAGAGACTTCAGAGCTCAGCTAAGCAAGTGCAGACGCTGCCCTGTGGGCTTGCATGTTTAGATTACTCAACTCCCCTGTTGCAGTCACAGGAAGAAAGTCACAAGTGAAGATGTCTGGGGGCGACAACTGTCCCAACCCCAACAATGGAAGAGGCCTGTTTGCAGTGCCAGCCACAGGGCAATCAGCGGGTCAGGCTTACAGGGTCAGGTGGTCCTTTCAGCTTGGTTGGAAAGTGGCTACCATCAGGCTTGGGCACACTCGCTCTGTGAAGCCCCATGCCCCAGGTGGAGCTGCAGGGGCTCCCTGAGCTGCAATGTGGTGTGGTTTTTCTGAGGTTGGAAATCTGAGCCAATATTGTGTCCGTTCCATTTGGGTATAGAGAGGAAGCCTGAATCACTTAAACCAACTAGGTCTTTCCAGGTCATCATTTTAAATTAAAGAAGTATCACTTTTTTTATACGTGCATTTCTGTGTCTTTATTGGTTATATGCAGGAGCGAGTAGGGGACCATAGGTCAAATCTGGCTCTCTACTATTTTGCAAATAAACTTTTATTAGAACACACCACACCCACTCATTTATGAATCCATGCTCATTTTTGTGCTCTAATAGTGGAGTTGAATACTTGCAACAGAGACAACAGACCCACAAAGCCAGAGGTATTTACTCTCTGGGCCTTTACAGAAATCAGTCTGCCTGTTCCTGATTTAGGGCAGTGTTTCTCCAATCCCAGGCCTCACCCCAAGCCTAGAATAGACTCTGAGAGTAGTCACTGTAAACAAACTTGGAGTGATTCTAATACTTCCTGCAAGTCAGGAACTTTGGCTCCGTTGGCTCCAAAATCAGAAGACTTAAGACTCTGCTGGAATCCAGCCCCTGCCCCAGAGAGGACTGGTTCTCAGGAATTTCTGCTGAACAGTTAAGTTCTGCCAAGTAGAGGTACTCAATTAAATAAGATTGACTTTCATTCTAGAGGGATCTCAGCCTTCCTGGAAATCGTTCCCACTCTCACAGTGTTTAGTAATAATATTAAAAACTGTCAGCTAGGAATCACTACCCTGTCCAGACCTCATGAGCATTATCTCATGGCTTCTGGCAACAGCTCTAGGAAATAGATGCTAATATTGCTCTCAGTTTGCAGATAAGGACACAGGATCAGAGAGGTGAAACAATTTGCCTAAATTCCACAGTTACCTTATTCCCCAGGGCACCTGATGCTCTTAGCTGCCGTTCTTAACTCCTCCCTGCTCTGATCTTGCTGGTGAGATTTGCTGTCACCCAGAAACCTATGAGCTTGGCCCTGCTTATCTAAGAGGGGACCTGGAGCAAGCTTCTCTTTAGCACTTCAAAAGCAAAGAGGTGACCTCTCCTACTCACTGTAGACTTTGGATAGATTCCTATTAGGGAAGAGAGGGTGCTGTGACAGGATCAAACCCACTGCACCTTGATGGCATTGGGGAATTGCCAAATTGGGGTGATTTGTTAGAGTCCTCCCTGAAGTGCGGAGTTTAACCACACGAAGTCCCCTAAGCCACAGGAGTTAACTGCTTCAAGCATTGACACCTATTACATTTGGGACCAACAGGCAGTGTAGTAGTAATGTTGCTGGACTCCCACGTAGACACAGATGGGGGGGAGTTCTAGCTTTCTGTCTCCCTGTCTCTTCGGCAAGTACACGTGCCCCACAGCAAACAACCTCTCTTGAAAAAAAACAAAACCAGAAAACTGTTCAATTTTCAAGAATCATGCTTTGTAAGTTGTTTTCTACTCAGCCCTACTTTCTTCAATAAAGTTCACCTTATAGGTCCAACAGGTAGTATTAGAGGGTGGGAGAGCTGAGTTGCATTGTGTGAAATCTTCAGTTCTTTAGCTCCAGATCTCTAAGATTAGAGACCTGCCCTGACACACAGAATGAAAAACCCAACACTCGTAAAGTAGGGAAAAAAAATTTTAATAGGAAAGTGAGGATTTTTTTTTTTAAAAAAGCATTATTTATTTACTTTTATTTATTTATCATTATTTTAATGTGACCAGAGAGAGACAGAGAGAGAGGGAAAGTGAGAAAGTAAGCCTCCAGGTCTGACTCGAATTATGGTCAGCCATGTGAGAAGCCAGTACCTTAACCACCACACCACCTGCCTGCCCCAAAAGTGAGATTTTTAATATAAAAGAGATGCACCCCATGCTAGAAAAGCATGCAGGTGGGCAGCTGCCAAGAAAGGGTACTGCATTGGGCATGAGGATAGATGTTACATTTCTTCTAAGAGTTGGTAGTGAAAATTCCACAGGGGAAGTTCTGTCATAGTATCTGGTATCGTTGGAATTTGCCGACTTTTTCCTGCATCTCTCTCTCTCAGGTGAGGACTTCAATTACCTAATCACATGTGCCCAGTGTTGACGCAGAAGGTATGAGCATCCTTGTTTGGATAAACTGTCTAAACGGTTTATTGTCAGATGGGAATCAGGATGTTGACCACAACAAGATGTCTTGTTGGGTCCTTGTGTATTTATGAGAAACGATAAAAGGGAAATTAACAACCTTCCGGGTGTGCTTTTCTCAGGTACTAAAGAAAAATGGGATCTGCCTTGCCTTCCTGACACCAGGAGCTGGGCGGGAGGAGAGATTTCTTGCAGAGGGCCTGCTTGAAATTGTGATTGATGTGAGATTGGTCCTGCTGTTATCTTGGGGCTGCCCGCTCATTTCTAGCTAACTGCCTCTCACAACAGTGCTGCTGCATGGAAAGCACCTGGCTCTCAAGTTGGATGGCTCTGGGCCAGACTCATAGCATAATGAGAAGCCCTGTGCATTGGGAGCTAGATCACACATGGCTGACCACTGGTTCAAGTCCCAGCCCCAATGACTTGAAAAACACACCAGGCATGTGTGTGGGTGTGCCCCAAATCCTGATGGGATGGAGAGGTAGAAAAGAAGGGATTGCAGAGTGACTACACCCCCTTGGGGAGTACATTGTCTCCACCCCCACTCTTCTTTTTTTGAGAGAGAGAGATTTTTGCTATAGGACGCATGTGCTTGCTGGAGTGACAGAGAGAGACAGAGAGACAGAAAGTGAGAAATCATCCCCCGGGGAGATGGCCATGCCACAATCCCTTCTCCTCCATTCTCCTCTCAGAATTTAGGCATGCATACACACATGCCTGGCATGAGTCTAAAGCTGCTGGGTCTGGGACTTGAACCACAGTTGACTACATGGGAGTCCAGCACCTAAACCACTATGCAACTGCAGGCCCCTCCCATTCTCTTTGGCTGTGCTCTTGCCTTCTGGCAATGAAAGAACAATAAATAAGGTCACATGTGTAAAGTGCCTAGCATATGCCTAGGACATAGTTCAATGAACACTTGGTACTATCATCATCATTCAGTGTCTGATACTCCAAAGTAGCAACTACAGAGTCTCTTGTGATCACAATGGGAGCCTCTGTGGTTTGAGCCAGATTGCAAAAGAGATGACCCTAGAACTAGAGCAGAGAGCAGGAAGGACTCGGGACACACTGGGGAGGAGGACTGGGGCCAGTGTGGGGTAGAACACGACACTGGCTCTGGCTACAGGTGCTCCAGCTGGAGAAGGTGGGCCTGCAAGCTGTCTCGTGCTGAGCTGGGCAGGAGATCGCTGGGCCTCGCTGTCCCAGCAGTCCCTCAAGACAAGCAGGCAGGACCAAAGTAACGAGACTGTCATCCTCCCTGGCAACAGTATGAGCAAGAGGAGAAAGTCAGCTCCCCTCAAATTCCCCACAGGACAGCATCAGGTGAGGGTCAGAAACCATCTCATCTCGCCATCTCACTGCTGGGGGGAGCCCTCAGGGAGAAAAGGGTCTGGCCAGTTTATGAACTTGAGTAGGGCAGAGGGAGAAGAGGGGAAGGGGCAGAGGTGGGAAAGTACTGAGAGGGAAGTGCTGCAGCGTTCCTCCTGCCCAGAGGTGCCAGGGAAGGCCTCTGCTGGAGGACCCCAATAAAGAGACCTCCGAATGGTGATCGGTGGCCCTGGGCTGGGCCTGTGACTTCTTGACTGAGCTCACTGGCTGTGCCCCAGGTCTGCTGTGGGGAGGGCAGCTGTACCCCCAGCCTCCCTTAAGGCCTGCCTGGTGAATGAACCTTTGTAATTGCCTATGGCCTATAGTCAGGCCTGAAAGATTACACATGTGAGGTCTTTAAGAAGTTCGTGGAAACATGAATTAGGAAAAACTATGCATGGGGAAGGCGACTGCTGGTGGAGGTTAAGGCACTCAATCCTATACGGCCGACTACACGGTTTGAGTCTCGGGCCCAGTGGCTTGAGAACACACTGGGCATGTATGTGTGCATGCTTAAAATCCTCAGAGAAGAACAAAGAAGGGACTGCAGCATGACTATCCCCCACTGGTGGCGGGGGGAGGGGGGATTTCCTCTGTCTCTCTCTGGCAAGTGCATGTGCCCTATAGCAAAAACTAGAAAAACAAAACTATGGATAGGTTTCCAAAAATGTCTGTGCCATTTATAAACTCTAATTGTTTTTCCATGAACCTTTTGAAGTCCCCTTGTAGGTGTGTGGCTGAGAGCTGGAGTACTCACAGGTGCCTGGTCTGTGGAGTCAGCCTGTCCTTGGGATGGGACTATTTACTTTCTCCAAGTCTTAGCTGCTGCTGCTGCTGCTGCTGCTTTTCTTTTTTCTTTTTCTTTCTTTCTTTCTTTTTTTTTTTTTTTTGGTAATTTTGTGATAGGGGATGTGTGGTCACCAGAGAGACAGAGAGAGAAAGAGGGAAAGTGAGGAAGCCTCTGCTGGGGAGATGGCCACACTGCAATTCCCCTGCTTCCATTCTCCTCTTGGAATTTTGAGCATGCACACACATGTGCCTGGCATGTTTCTCAAGCTGCTGGATCTGGGACTTGAACCACGCAGTCAGCCACATGGGATCCAGTACCTTAACCACCATGCCACTAGCTGGCCCAGCCTTGGCTTCTTCATCTAAAAATGATTCTCTGGTAAGGTTGATGTGAGAAGTTACAAAGTTGATGAAGTAGGACACTAAACACCAGGCCCAGCACCTAGTAGGTGCTCAGTGACGGCAGAGCTGCTGTGCTGGCAGTCCTGTGCCGTGTAACAAGCCAGCCCCAAACCACGACCTTGTGTGTGTCCTGACTGGCAGTTCCAGCAGGGCTGGAGAACAGCTTGTCTGTTTCTCGAGTGTCAGCTGAGGCAGCTAGCTCGGCGGGAGGCTGGGGCTGCATTTCTGAGATGGTTCGCTCACAGCCCTGCTGGGAAATCTCCCTGAAAAGACTTCCTGACCCCCAGAGAAATTCGAGACCGCGGCTGCTGGGCCTTACGGGCAGGGACAAACCCAACCCTCTCGGTGAGAAAAGGTGAACCACACTTGGTAAAGATGTCAGCAAAGGGGGATGTAGTTCTCCAAATGGCCTGTCCAGTGACAGAGACCTAGAGGCTGTGCTGGAACCAGCTGGTCC